CAGCAATATCTGACCAGCTATATCTGACCAGCACTGGCTTGAATGAAGTGTTTTACACAGTGCTGCTGTTGTGGTGTGCTGCTGTGTCTTGTCTTTTTGTTTCACTGTGTGCAAACAGGCTCCAGACTGTTTCCACACTGTTTTTCTACTCCTCACTCCCTACTTCTAGCCTTGCACTCAGACAACCTAAGTTACATTCAGTAACTTACTACTGGCAGAGCGTTACCAGCAGAAACACTGGGTGTTTTTGTTTTTATATTTATATATATTTTTTTACTTCAGTGCCACACATCTCCACGTGCTCACCAGAACAGCTCCAGTCTGTCTTTGTCTTTGCCCAGCACGGCAGCTTTCTGTACTGACCTGTGACATGTAAAAAAATCAGACTGCAATGTGGGTGGGGCATTGAGCAATGCTATAGAGAGGGGCAGAGAGAGGCAGCTGCATCTGAGCCAAACAAAGTGGCACATTTTCAAATTAATGTATTCTATTCACTATTGAATTTAAGCAATAAAAATGTAAATAATAATAAAAACAAAAGTGACATTTAATATTGTGTTTACACTGAGCACAAATACAACAATTTGCACGAGTGAATTCCCGCCAGGCAGCGTGATGGCTGACACGAATGACGCAAAATACACAAATGAAGCGTCACCAATGAAGCCAGTAGCACAGTTTCACGTGGTTGCTGCAGAAGTGAAAAAACAAAGAGTGAATCAATGAAGCTGTCTTTGTGTTATTTTATAAAGTGATAGAACAGAATAATAAGAGTTATAACAGAGTCAATCTATTTCAGCTAAAAGGTCAGAGCTTTGACTCCTGGAGTGTCCTCTGTAGGTCTGAGCAAAAATCACAGATTCAGTCACATAATATAATTAAACTTAGAAGTGCACAGCAAAAGGGAGGCAACGAGACGCCTCCACTTAACTGATGACTGTCTTGAGGACAGCTACAAAGCAAGCTTCTCGTGCACAAATGAAAACTCTCCAAGGACACAGTTAACTTCAGGTACAATGCAGCCTTATACACATGAGGAAGCAGAATACTACATGGTATGGTAATGAGTAATTTTGTTCCTACACACATTATAAACTTATTCGCGAGAGTTGAAAGATCAGCGACCAATTTGCGTCATGATAGCCAACCAGCACTGAGATCTTCCAGGTATGTATGACACCAAGGACTTAATGGCAGAAGTTCATTCATCAATTCAGTGATTTCACGCGCATGACGTGAGTTATTCGGGCATATGGAGCGAGTCAACACAAAATATTCTAGCGTTCAAAATTTGCATTGCATTCAGTGTGAACACAACATTAGAAGCACCAGTGCAGAGCATGTTACAGTCACTGCCTGAGAGTTGGCAGCTCCGCATGACATGTTTTCTGTACCAACTTATGTGCACCATGCATGTAGAGCTGAGAATCACTCAGATTTTACATGCACTACTGTGTATGAATGTGGTTTTTCCAGCCCTGTACAGTATTGCAACAATATCAATAGAGCCATTTCAAAGAACTGAAACAGGCCCTTTGTTTGACATTTATGATACACAAACTGTTTCAAAGGGCAGCACTGGCCTTAGGGTTAGAGGACAGTTGCCTCTTTTAGAAACACCAGATCTGGCTGGGAAAATGCTCGATTAGGGAAACAGGAAACATCACATCCAATAAATACGGTGTGTTTTAGCATATATATTTTACCTGATACACTGACATTGCTTATTGGCCTGTAATAGACAAGCTATTTGGCAGCTGATTGGTGTGAAAATGTGAAATAAGTGTTTGAGATTTTGCATTTAAGAAATAACACAGGAGCGAAGCACTCTCATAGCTATCTGTTCACCAAGCTTATGAAGTCTTTTTTCTCTCACTCCACTTCTCAATCTCAAGCTTACAGCCACACTGCCAGCATTAATGTCCCTACTAAAAAGGCCACCTACTTTAGCTATAAAGGACTCTTTTACTGGCTCGCTGAGAATGACTCCATTGTACAAGCTGACATAGTAACGTTGGCATCTGCTGCACACACACTGCCCACATTTCTCTCTTCAGATATTTTTCTGCACAGCAGTTTTTCTCCTGCAAAGTCAAACTCCCTTCACTCCTCAGCAGTCTGCATTTGCATATCCATATTTCCATTCTTAAGATGCCGGTCGCTTTCTAAAATGAACCATTAACCCTCCTCCACTTTCATTACTTCTATATCCCATAATGCAAAGTAGCACTGCCAGCTGAAAAGGACAAATCATATTATTTTTCTTGCACCCAGTGGTTTTAAATACCACAAATGGTCTTGCTGTATGAATCCAGTCTCTAAAATGTATTTCTATTTGCTGTTATAGCCAAGACAGCATAACCATATTGGGATGGACTTTTTTGGAGCTAGAAGAGACAATATTTGGACAAGAGTTTGGAGCTGTGGAGGAGCGAGGGGTGGAACTGACACATAAACTGTGACAAAACCTTGCAAACAGCCTGTCACTCAAGCAGCCCCACCCTTCAATATGCATAACTTTAAGCCTTAATACAATGTAAACCGGTGAGTTATAAAAAAAAATCACCCTATGTACAGTTGTCATGAATGTTGTAATAAGCCATAGAGACCAAAACTGTTCTTTGTACCAGGCTGTAAACACCTTTATTTCTGCTGTAAATCTGGGCATTTATCATGGGGGTCAGTGAGGACTTTCACTGTTTTTGAGCCAGCCTCAAGTGGCCATTCGATGAACTTTTCAGCCTCGGAGGATGCCACTTGATTTCACGTCTTTTTAAAAAAAAAAAAATCTTAAAAATGTATCAGTTAGTTACCAGATAATGGGTGTCAGCCTTAAGAAAACAAAGTTAACCAAAACTGACATCGGCCACACAAAAGTAATCCTTCTTAATTATCACTTACGATCCACTAGCAGTGTGTAGTGGTGTCTGTATCTGCAGAGAACCTGCCCTACGCCTGTATTTATTTTCTTCTTATAGAGTGTGCTAGGAATGAGTCCTAAAACCCTACAATGAGTTAGCATTTTACAACTCATGGTTCCCTCATCTCAAAGTCAGTGGGTTTTTTTGAATACGTTTTGGGGTAGATGCCTGAAATAAGGTCTGTGGTTAGCACAAATTTGAGTGGCTTTCACCTTTTGTTCTCCAACATACAATACCTCAGTGAATACCCCATTCATGAACTTTGAAGCTTGTCTTAAAAAAAGGCAGTTGCTAACAAGTGGCTAAATGAAACTACAGATCGTCATCAAGCCAAGCCGTGCCAAGCATGGCTTTAAAATCTTGTTATGGTGGTGACTTTTGATCATGTGACCGCAGTGTAATTTGTGTATAGCCTAATGTTAGCTTTTTACTTCTGCTGATTGCATTCAAGCTTCAATATCAATGAAAATGGTGTTTATTTGTGAAATTACCTTGATGAACAAAAGGTGCAGGCATGATTAATATTTGTTTGCCACAGAGCTTATTTTTGGCAATAATCCAAAATCTGATGGAAAAATCCCACAGGCTTTTTGACAAGGAAACCAGTGCGGTGCTTCCATGGTGGCCTACAGAAAAACATCATCCCTCTATTCTGGTTTGCTTGAGACATTTCTGTGTGTCAACCTTTGGGAAGTGGTGTGTGCATTAAGTCAGGAGTCTATAAAAACGTTGCAACTGTGCTCTGCTCTGTGGATGCCAGCTGCAGGTCTACATGTCTGTTTGTATAAAGGCACACACACAAAGAGCAGAGAAACCAAGCAGGAAAGGAGCATGCGCTGCAGCTGAATTCATAAACCATACACCATTCTGCAGGGTTGTGCAGAGTTGTGAGTCTGTTATTTGTGCTTATGAACGTAACTGCCATGAAACAACGAGACAACACCATTTTATTTCTTTGATTCATATACTTGCATCTGGTGCTCTCTTAAGGCCAAAACACACCGGCGCCGTACGATGCGCGTCAAAACAGACATCCCCATTATTCTCTATTTACAAACCCACACCGGCAGCGTGTCAACCCATGTCGACGTGACGCACCACAGCACTTCTTGCTATTGTCCTATTTTCCAGCGTTGCCGCTCTTGAAAAAGCACTTCTTTTTAAGAGAAAGGCCTATTTTGTACTTCCCATCTCCCGTAGTAGCAGCTCTGTTGAAGAGCAGAGAAGAAGAACTTTGGCGCCATCTATTGTTTGTTTTACTGTCGTTGTTTGGTCTAGTCTGGTTGTCGTGGTCGTCTTGTGTTATGTGTTTTCTTTCTCTTTCTGTGTCTTCTTCCTCGTATTTTGTTCTAATTGGCGGTTGGCAACCTGCTAGTCACACTACCGCCACCTAGTGGAGTGGAGTGTGCAATAGAATTCTGGTAGACGCCAAAGATACAGACCTCCACCAAGGCCAGATGCCAGAGACCAGAAGTTTTTCTACAGTATGATCCTGCTGACAGCCAAGCAAACCGAATAAGGAATATTACAAGGAATACACTCCATTAGTGTATTTATCAACACACTGTTTATGGAAAATCCAATAATGAAAACAATAGGACCAACTCAATACACAAACAGAACAGCACAACTGTAGGGGCCCAGGTTACCTTACTTGCCACAGGGGATCTGCCACCGTTCTTAATCACTCGGTTGCTTTGGAGAGCTCTCAGGTCTAATTAGGGCAATTCAGATCAAACTGAAAGCTGCTGGCTTTGACACAAGGTTATGTCATTCAAAGCACCGGGCTGGATAGTCAACCTCCTGGGAGGGCTGCTGTCCAAAAGGCAACTGAATCTCTCCAGCTCAGAACGGACTGGCTTTGGGTTAAACTAAAGTGGGGTTTGTTGTATGTCATATCAGTCCTATAACATATCAGGTTTAAGAAATTTTGATAACAGAACTGCACAAGACTAATTCAGAGTGGGATGAAGGAATAACAGAGTAATGTACGGTTTTAGATTTTATTGTTTTACCATAGTTATGTTTTCACATTTTAAATCTTCCTCGCACAACAGCAAGAAACACATTAATTCTTACCTGTTGTAGGTTGATCAACACATCTATCTCTGGGGCATGACCTCCTGTAGCCATGGGGCCTGGCGTGCAGCCAGTGGGTGAAGAGTAGTTCAATGACAAGGGCAGGCGCCTGCAGAGAAGACGGCTGGTGTGGCTAGAGTGAAACTAAGCAGAGAGGCTGGGTATGGAGCTGCTGTGGGGAGGGATGTGACTGGACGAATGGTCCTGGATGTAAAGGATGACAGGGGTGGCAAGGTCAGGTGTAGGAGTCAGATGGGGTTTGTGCAGTTGGGAGAGGGGAGTAAGCAGGAGAAAGGAGGAGGGAAAGATGGGGTGCAAAGCAGCAGGAACCTGGGGGAGGAAAGGGATCAGCCCTTCTCTTTCACGGCTGGGGATCCAGGAAGCCCTTGCGGTGGCATAACCTGCAAGAGAGTGGACAGGGGTGATTAGAGGGATATATGGGCAACTTTTGGACAGTAACCAAGGACACAGAATGACACTGTAAATAATCACTGCATGCTGAGAATACAGTGAATAGTTGTGTTGATAGTTGTGTTTCTACTTAAATACTTTACTTGTTTGAGTAACCCTTTAAATATCTGCAAAATAAAATGTAAACCAGAGTGTTACCTTAATGTAAATACATGAAGGAGTATGAGATTAGATTACGTAATAAACCAAACACCTCCCTCTCATACTGTATATCACAGCATTTCATCGCCGCTTCCCACCCACATAGTGGTATTTGTGTTTTAAAATGAATAAATTCATCTCTTATGATCCATATGTTCCCTATGGTGTTTTTATCAGCTGCCATGAGGATACAGAGGGCGTTGGTATGCAACAAGAGCCCCTGTCTGCACTAACACTGAGGGTGCTGTAGTTATACCCATGCCACTCCTGCTCATTTTAGGTGGTTTTCTACTTCTGGTATCTTAGTAGAGTGAAGGTAAATACAATGAATGCACTGATTAAAAAAACAGTTATTATGCCACATTACACATTCCAAGAATGTGTGACATTGTGTCCCATTCTCCAATGCCTCTAATGTAATATTTCTTCTCTTATGGTTTAGTGTTGGATTCAAAAAGCATGTGAGAGACAAACATTTAGCAGGCCTCAAACATATTTTCTCACCATGCACAAAATTGGTATAAGTTCAAACTTAACATTATTACTCTTAATTTCAAAACATTTTGTTTGTTAAGCATGTAGCAAACAGAACCAGAATCAGTGCTCATTAATGCATAACCCTAACCAAAAAGACCACAGTTGACTCTATACAGGCTGTTCTTGTGACCTGTTCATACGTGTTCCTATGAAAAGTAATGCGTAAATAAGCATGGTAAATTATGAGTAAAGAAGGAAGCGATCACAAGTACTCAGGAAGAGGCAGGTTGGGGTGCTGGATTAAAGCAGAATTATTATTTGTGCATCAACTCTATGCAGAGCCTACGCCATAGCCTACGCACGTGGCCTGCGCCATTGTGAGCATTTATACTTGTGCGGCGGTATGTCTGTGTCACTCTGCATTTACACATCTAAACCACCAGTCAGCGGTGGGGTTTCTGTGAAGTGCTGTAAAGTTTAGTTGATTCAAAACACACATTAAACATGCCTTAATAGAGACAATTTCAAACACAAGTACACGAATTAGCTTCACTATAACTCGCTGCATTTACAGAAAAAGAATTTGTCTTTGGCTGGACACATTTTCACCACAATACAACATGCTAACGTTATTAGCACAAGCCTATAGCATTTTATATTGTACGAATTAGCCTAGCGGCCAGCGGGCTTTTTCATACAAATCCAGGGACAACAGCAACATTTAACGTTACAAAATTTGGATCACAAGGATCACCGACAATACAACTGTCTTATACTAAACAAGTTTTCCAAACAAATATAACATGCTAATATTATTAGCGCAAGCCTATGGCATTTTACATTGCATAAATTAGCCTGGCGACGGTTGGAGATTTCCTCTATTTATATAAAGCCAGGATAAATCATACACAAGACCTGAAATGCTATTTTGTGGGGGCTTTATTGTCTTCACAATTTATTGTTTCTTATCTGTGAAATTAAAGTAAATAAAAGCTTTGTGTCCACTGAGGTCCACATCGCCACACACCTCTACTTGCCTAAACCTAACCTCCACTACTATAAGGGATTAACGTAACTTTACTTTAAGAATGTGGCGTCATTTGTAGGCGCTAATTCACACGATCTCATGCGAACCATTCTGTGTACATTTACTGTGTACAGCAGCTTGCCTGAATGTTTTCATATGGTTTGTTATGATGCATTTTGGTTCACTTGGATCCTTTTCTGTGTGAAAAGAAACTGAACCAAGAGGCCAATTGGAGCAGAGCAAAGAAACTTAGGTGTGAAAATGCCCTTAGACTCCAATTAAGAATTGAAGCCTTTCATAGCTAGCAATTTCAGGAATTCCCACTCATATATGTGTGGCAGTCGCCAAGATTAACACATCTGCCACTATGGCAGATTTTTTACTTTTGGATGAATGATCATTAGGTGCATTGTTAGAATATATGTACCATTCGGTTATTATTTGCTCCATAGACAGAGGGCACAGCAGAACGGTAGGTGCACCTTGTTGCTGGGTCTAAAGTCTACAACGACTCAAAACTCATACAAACCGATACCTAATTTTGTGGGAAACAATTAACATATTTGCTTCAGATTGACTGATTAATTGTGAAGAATGTGTAAGTTGTTGCAGACAGTGTCTTAAAAATAAAATGAACCTCTCTCTTGGTAGAGTCCACGTCTTTTATATTCAGTAACAAACTCTGCTACAGGCATTACTTAACTCTTACTTCTCACTTATCAGTCTAATTTGAAAACAAATCTAGCACACATGCTCATAAACAAACAAGAGGAGGCACCTTGGGACCACTTAATTGTCCTGATGATGCCAAAATAGACAGTGATGATTATTTTGGTTTTCACATGGAGGAAAACAGGTGCCTCTCATCCATGTAAACATGCCAAGGATTTTTGGCCTGCAATTATTCTGGGCAGTGTGGGAGAGGGCGAGCCAGACCATGGCCATTTACCACTGCCATTTACTCCAGTAAAGATCTAGCCACTCAGAGTTAATGGGCAATGTGGCTAAAAATGTTGTCATGATAAAAATGTTCATATCAGTTCATAAGTTTAAGGGCTAATTTTTTAGCCTGGATAGCAACAATGGCGACCACTACAGATCCTACAGACCACATTAACGATGCTATCGAGGTATTTCGAGGTATCTCTACTGATTGGTTAGGGAAAAATCAAATTCCCTCCCCCTTGTAAATCGCCTTCAATGGAAGCCATGTCAGACTGAAGGTTCTGGGAGCTTCAGTCTGACACTCAGGCTACTAATTTTTTGCTCCTGAGTGAAAGTTGGAGGAACCATAAATTTAGTTGTGGTTAAAATTATTATGTATTGTCAGGACACAACAAACTTGCCAAACAGCTGAACAAATTAAAGTTTTCTTCACGTTATTACTATTCCTGTTTATTTGTGTTATGTCACTACATTCTAATGAAATATCTAGAAGTAACAACATCTAATGGTAACTGCAAACTTACCATTAGCATCAGATGAGTTTACTACCTATACAACTACTTTAGCGAACGTTGAAAGGCAAGGCTAGGCAAGGCAGCTTTATTGTATATCACATTTCATACACCAGGGCATTTGAAAGTGCTTTACAGAGCAATAAAATATAAAACATAATAAAGGATGTATATTTACAATAAAAGAGTAAAGACAAAAAAGATATAAAAGGTAAAATTATGTACTAAATGATTTATAATTTTAAAAAATCCCCTTTAAAAAGAGCAAAAGTGCAGACAAGAGGCGCAAAGATAAAAGATTATTTCAAAATGATATAAAAATAAGTTTAAAAATAAATTTGCCATTGTCATTACATGGTGGAGTAGGAAGTGTAAAAAAAGGAATGTTTTTAGCTTTGACTTAAAAGTGGTCAGAGTCGGGGCTTGTCTAACATCATCTGGGAGGTTATTCCAGGTTTGTGCTGACTTCCGTGGTAAAAAAAATCATTACAAAAATAACTTTATGAGCGTGTTAAATGTCGATTTAAAGTTATAAAGCTACCTTATAAAGCTACCCTATAAGCTTAACGGCAAATCTTGTCTTCTTCTACGTTTTCATTTTCCTCTGATCAGTCACCTGTTCTCATTCTGAAGTCGTCGAATACCACTACTTGGTCAGTGAATTTGGCGCCAGACACAGATGAAAAAAGGCATCCTTTCACCACAGTATGATACACCACAAGCCGGTATTGCCACCGGATGGTGTCAGTTTGAAATGCCACTGGGTAACAGCATTACTTAAGAACCTGTAAAGTCCTTATAGGGTGTACAAGAGTGGATGGGTCCCACAAACACCAGACTTTCACCTAGAAGCTTTGTTTTCAATTCCAAAACGTTCTCATCCCATGTCATCACATATCACCGCTTTGTCAGTGGCCTTTCACATCTACATAGTATGCGCTAGGTCTCCATATGCATCTGATGTTGACACGCTACCAATGCCAGGAGGTCACCTAAAGCACATGGTTAGGTTTAGACAACAAAAGCACATGGTTAGGTTTAGATAACAAAAGCAAATGGTTAGGTTTAGAAAGAAAGATCTTGGTTTGGCATTTGGGAAGCAAACACTGGGTTCCTAGGTGAAAGTCTGGAGTTTGTTGGATCCATCCTCCACCTCTCCCACCTGACCTATGGGACTCACCTTATGTTACGTTGTAACCAGCAGCATTTCAACCTGACGCCTTCCAGCGGTGTAGCATCTGGTGTAGCATACCAACACAACATATGCCTTCCCGACCATCGGGCAGCATATCATAACAGCGCAAAAGGTTAAATCAGATGATGTTACATACTACGCTGCTGGACCACTTATCATACCACTGCAACAGGTAGGGATGTCCCGATCTGATATTCGGATCAGTATCGGCCGCCGATATTAGCAAAAAACGTGCATCGGCATCGGATCGGACGGCATGAAAAAATGCCGATCCAAGAACTCCAATCCAGTTTTTCATGTACTCTGATCCAGGTTTTCCGGCCAGCCCAGCACTCCGTGATTCAAGCAGTCCATTCCAGTGATCCGCTCCAGCACTTACTATCAATCCACCAGGCCAGCATGTAGACACACAGGAAATAGCAGCACCAGGCTGGCACTGACACTACAAAAATAACTGAAAAGGAAAGGCTGCATTGTTTGTTAAATGTCAACAATGTCTTGTGGTGTTAATCTATTTTTTAGACATAAGTGTGGACATAAGAAATCATGGCAATCCATGATAAATTCCAAGTCAGCCACTCTGTTTAAAGCTGCTGTTTTCCCACTGACACAATAACAGTCCCTACATCTGTC